AATCAGAAACGAAATTTCTTATTTTAAAGGCTTTTGACCTTTTTGATGGAACTTTGCTATAGGTTATCGAGGGCCCTGAATCTGAATCCGAAGCCCATTTTTTTGGCCGAGATTTCACTGGTCAGAAACCGGCCAATCAGAAACGAACGTTTTTTTATTTTGAGAATTTTGGCCGTTTTGATCGAACTCTGCTATAGGTTATCGAGAGCGCTGAATTTGAATCCGAAGGCCATTTTTTTGGCCGAGATTTCATTGGTCGAAAACTAACCAATCAGAAAAGAACTTTCTTATTTTAAGACTTTTCGCCGTTTTGATCGAACTTTGCTACAGGTTATCGAGGGCCCTGAATCCGAATCCGAAGCCCATTTTTTTGGCCGAGATTTCATTGGTCAGAAATCGGTCAATCAGAAATGAGCTTTTTCATTTTAAAACTTTTGGTCGTTTTGAGTGAACTTTGCTATAGGTTATCGATGGCCCTGAATCCGAATCCGAAGTCATTTCTTTGGCCGAAGTTTCATTGGTCGGAAACCGGTCAATCAAAAAAGGAACTTTTTTATTTTACGGCTTTTGGCCGTTTTGATCGAACTTTGTTAGAGGTTATCGAGGGTGAGAAATCCGAATCTGGAATCAGGATTCCAAAATTCAGATCTCGAATCTATTCGTTCTATGAGAAGTGATGTTGAGAAACAGCAAGTACTTTGTAATACGTGACAGTAGTGTAATGAATCAAGAAATACGAAGATAAGATGAAATTAGAGTGCTTGTAGAACAAAGATTGAGGAATGAGAGCGAGTTACGCAAAAAAATTATTTAGATTGACAGGATACAACGGCTGTGTCCACTTATTCAGAATATTTCAGATTATCGGTAAATCTATACTAACGTGTCCTCTTCCTGAATACTGATAAGCTTCCAAAGAAAATTTCTAATGTGGATGAATTTTTTTGTAAAGGATCAAACTTTCCATCAGTTTTTTAAATAGGAACGATGGCTCGATTTTGAAAATGGTATCAACCTTTCGTGAGTGAAAGTAGCTGGAAGTAGCGGATAGCCGTGAATGGCGTTCCTTCGGAAGGACGGCGAACCAATAGCTGCCTCCAAACTAGGTTTATTCAAAATCTGTTTTACGACATTTCTGCATAACATCAAGCAAGGTCCTTAAAAAAGTGCCACAGAGACTTAACATGTGACACTTTATGTAGAGAAGGACTCCTATAAACATGGAGAAACTCGAGAGACGACACGTATATATTTAATAGATATCTTGCTGGATATAGGAAATCTAGTACCCTTTAGTTACGAGTAGAGAAGCTTTTGAAGCAGTCGAAATGTGGATTAGTCATGCCTTGAATAAGAAAGTAGTCATTTGAGAATATGTGTTCAAAGATAGTAGTAGCTAAGTGTGAATAGCGCCACGTCGAAACTCCGACAGTGAAATATAGTAGCTTCTATTTCTACTTCACAATTTTTTTGGTATGAGATATGGTCTATTAAGCTAGTTTTTTGTGTGAAATCATATACTTAAGCTTCTTTCGATGGCGAGCTCCATGAAATCTTAGATTGACTAGCTAGGTAAAGGATTGAAACGCATAAGGAATAGTTCACAAGTATTTTCACTTTGGGATTTCTCATGCGATAAATATAGGCAGCTTTGAAACTAATCCAAATCTAGAATCCAGTAAAATTTAAATAACAGTGGATGATTATATAATTACTGGAAGAGAACGATGCATAACAGCAATTAGTTGCGCGTGACGACCCACTCGGATGCCGACGAGTGACTAGCTGCTGCCCTAAAAAATCCTTTGAATAGAATTCTTTTAAACTTCTAATCCATTGGAAGGATCTCTAGCACTTAGATCTTACTAGGATTCATGGGAGGAAGAACTGGCAAGAGGGTTAACAAGTGTATTTGAATGAAGTGTGAGAACGAGTGTGTTGGAGATCTTCAATATCGGAATCGAACATTTCCTGAAAAGCGTCAATAATACAATTTGCATCGAATCATCAAAAGTGGACTTGAATGGAATTTAATAATCCTTTATCTTCATAGATACGTCATCTGCCCATTGACTTGTCAAATTTTTTTTCCGGCTATTTAAAATTCGTTATTTAATCTCACAAAGACTCAGAGTTGAAGCCTGATTCAACTTGCGTATGCCGGATATTAGTTTGAACAAATATAGCTTTTTAGTCTGATAGCTACGCTAAACATGCATTTTCGTAGTGGGTACCGGTCAGCGATATTGCCCGCCTATGTGTTTATGAGTATGCGCATTATTAATACAGTTTGCGTGAAGTGTAGTGCATCTTTACTGCAGTCACCCTGATATTTTTTGTCTGCTGATTTTCTCTGAAAATCGAATATACTATTTTTTCGTGGTTTGAGGATATTGCTGTGTCAGTGTGGGTCACGTAGATTTCTTTTGAGTGTTATTGATAGAGTAACAGATTAAATGAACGAATGTTATAGCTAGCAGTATTACAACGGTACCAATAGCATTATACACGCCGATACATGTGTACACTAATGTTGACACTAGCACAAAGCCATGTGCAAATGCCCGATGCTACCTTTTGCAAAATGTCTGCAGTAATAAACAACTGCCGATGCAGTGAAATATTCAGTCGAGGGTTAAGCGAGTCACACAGACGAGCGTTACTTGTTTTGTAACGGTGTTTTTTGATAAGCTTTGTTTCTCTTTTTCGTCGTATAAACAAGAGAAAATCCTAGATAACAGCATAGCATTAGATAAATAGTATTCCAAATTTCTAAAGATTCTGATGCCGTTTCTCATCAGAAATTTGAATAAAAGTAGAAGAGGGTTACAACCAGAAAGAATACGCTCATCTTACATCTATATTTTTCATAGATTTTGACCTTCAGGACAACATAGCTCTAAATCTCAACAACAAATATATTTCATAATTTGTAGTTTTTTGCAGAGAATCTTAGTGGCTATCAAATGAAACTTGAATAGACTCGATCGCTTTAACTGTTTTCGAGAAAATGTGAAAATACGAACGACAGTCAAATTGAGGTAAAAAGGACATAAGGACCGGAGGAGTGCAAAAACTGTCTTGGCTAAAACTTCTTTTTACAAGGGTTTTAAATAGAAAAAATTTAGATTTCCCGGTAAAAATGAATGCTCTTTCCAGCTGTATAGTTAAAATTAAAAAAATATTTAGCCTCCGGCCAATGTTTAGAAAAATGTTCGGTTTTTTCGCGGAACCTCTCTTAATCATCATTCTGACACTGGTAAAATAACGTGTACCTCATCGTTATAACACACCGCGGTAGCATCACGACTGAAAGCTGCTGTAAAAGAGAAGACGTATCGCAGTCTCAATTACACCATACTTTGCAACGGTTCACAAGACACCGAGGTATGCGAAATGTAAGAAGAATACGAGAGAAGAAGACACGATAAATAGCAGAATAAAGTCAGCTGATAATTAGATTTTTGGTTCAACCTGTTTGTGAGACTTTAGTCTTATGTAATTCTGTATGTATTTAACATTGCGTATATCAAAATCCGTTAAAATGAATTTTATTCGCATGTATTCACAGACGTATAAGTGCTAAAGGCACTTAATTGCATAGAAATGAATATATGTAAACAGTAAATTTTTTCCGCAAATGCGTTTCAATTTTGTTCTTCTGTTTGGCAAAACTTTGCATTCAACTCATATTTTTATCATTGATGGCTTCCTAGTTTAATATTTAGTTCTTTCATCTTCTTTGCCTTTAGGAAACTAATCAACTTGCCATACAATGTGTTCATATAGTTAAGTCCTGAAGTTGATCTCTTCTGGTAAACTCCATAACATAGACAAAATTTTCACATTTTTTATGCTGAAAAAATTCTATATCTCTTCGATTCTTCTCTGAAATACTACCTTCGTGGCGTATTTGAGCGAAACAGCCAGTTATTCGTCGGCGCCCCTCCGGAACGCCAGCCACGGCTAGCCGTTTAATCCATCAAACCTCTTTTAACAGCCGATCATTCACTTTCTCACAATTTACCTCTTCCATTTTTCGCTTCTTTCGAAAAACTAATCGATTTGCTATAGAACGAATCTATGTACAGTGCTGAACAAAAGTAGGTACTACGGTGTGAGTGTGGGTGTGGGTGTAGGCATGCATGGTGCCTAACGAGGCACCAACACCCACGCACCCACACCGACACATCCACACCCATCCAACAAAGACGTGTAACCTCGAGTGTGTTGTATCCTTCACACTGCGCAATATCCACTGAGAATATTCTCGAATGTTCTCTTCTCTCCTCTTCTCTCTCCTTCTCAACGATTTATCCTTGCATCTGTTTGATGCAATAATCTCTTGAGTGAAAAGAGAACAATGAGCATATATGCAATGAATAGCGCAGCGATTACAAAGGTATAGAAAAAGTATCGAACACTATGAACAGTACTACGTAAGAATGCAAGGTTGACATCATACAAGGATGATATGAAGTAAGAGTGAAATAACGTAAGGATGATGTCACATACAGATGATAGCATGTCACATCGGTGTATCTCTTGACACACTGTGGCTGGAGAAAAAATAAAATTCTTTATTTGAAACAGAAACTAGAAGGCCCTCATACTTTCTACGTGCAATAGGTTGCTATGAATGCTCTGCACACTATATTGATTATCAAACTTACATGAGGTGGTTATGTTCGAACAAAGATAAAAAAAGTAATGATGTCGTAAGACTTCTTTTCATCTCTTGAGTTAAGTGAGTCATGCTTTTTACGTTAACTATTGTCTGAATATAAAATTGCCAACGTGGAAAAAATTGAGTATGACAACTTCTATATAATAGCTCAGAAATATTCACATTCTACTATTTTGTGACATTGGCTATATGAGCGTTTCATTGTTATCTTCTAGACAAGAGTCCAATGAGCAATCCAAATCGTTCCCAGAGTAAATCTGGTGGAAAAAATGTGAGTACTCTCGTTTGTGACTGGCTGCAATGCTCCTCAATAATGCCAAAAGATTTCGATCTGGATTATGAAAATATTGATATTCATACTTGTCGTACAAATGAAGAGCTGGATGAATGCGTTCGTCTTCAACAACGAGTGTGGCAATTTAACAATCTTGATACCGTGCCACGTCGAGTATTTCTTGTTTCAGAAAAAAATGGCGGTGTCGTACTAGGTGCATATGCTTCTCGTAACGGAAAACCGCTGCTAGTTGGCTTTATCTGGGCTTTATCTGGTGTTCATGGTGGCGCAAATGCAGGAGTCTCTCTGTACATTGAGATGTTGGCAGTACATCCTAATGCACAAAATCATGGCATTGGTCGAAGACTATTGAAACAGATGAAAGAGGACATGCTCTCTCAAAATGTGAAGATGGTTATGGGTACCTTTGATCCGACTGATAGCAAATTGGCTCATTTATATATCAATGGTTTCGGCGCCATAGCAAGGCGCTATAGTGTTAATTTCTATGGTAAGTCTTCATCGGCCCTTCACACGTTGTCAACAGATCGGTTACATGCCGAATGGTGGCCCAATTTGGTCCAACCTAAGACACAACAGGATCCTTTGGTGCATAAAAACTGTGCGTCATCAGAATCCAATTGTATTGTGGAAGTTCGTGTACCAGCCGGTATGGCTCAATGGAAACGTCTTCGAGATAAACGAGCTTCGAAAGCGCAGGAAGATATTCGTGAGAAACTCACCTCAGCATTCTCACAAGGTCTTGCTGTGATAGGATTTCAACGTGAACCAAATGGCGATGGTGTTTATCAACTCGGACATTTTTCGCTTGCTGAAATTGATACGAATGTATAAAAAGTCTTCTGATATCTGTTATGGCACGTAAATAAGACGTGTCATAAGAAAACTGTGTTACATGTATTATTCATATATATTCGTTCTCTTTCTTTCGTTTCATACGTATGTGGTTAACTATGCATATCGTTTCTTTCGTTCTGTTAGGTATTTTTCTCCGTGTTGCTCCTTTGCTTCTTTCCTATACTTTCGTTCTTTCTTTGATCTAAAAACTCTTGTTCGTTGCCTGTCATCCCTAATTGTGATTCTTTTTTGTTGATCCGTTAAAAGTCAAGAAAACGTTTTTTCGACCTTGAACTGGAAATTATTGTGCAGTTAATAGCACGTAACTATATCGTATATATGTTCTTGTGATTCAAAAAGATTGTCGTTGTTATTATTATTTCAACAAGAAAAGTAACTGATAAGAAAACTTAAATAACATCATAAAATAACCATATACACATCAACATAATATTGGACATAACAATATTGTTAGACAACAGTGAAACAGAAACTGTTTTCATCTGATGAACTTCGAGAGAAGCGATCAGGAGGATGAAGATATGAGTGTTTGAATGAGGCCTCACTTCTTCTCTAACCTCTGGCAGTTCTATCTGGAGCTCCATATTTTCACGACCACATCCTCTTACACAGGTATATATAGGCTCCAGTTGTAGGCTGATCAGCTGGCTTCAGTTAACTTGAGTACAGAGTTAACTGAAAGTCCAGTTTCTGGAACTGATTCATACCTTATGACGAAAGTTATGAATATTCAAAGGATATCTTGTAACTATGCATTAATATTCGTAAGGTCGTCCTAAGAAATTTTATCTGTTGGTTGAAAAAAATATACTCGAATGCCCATTTAAAAATGCTAAGCACTTTACTCTTTACTCGATAACTTCCGAAAGAAATCAGATGAAAATTGTGTGCTAAATTAATTTTCATACTGGCTCGGCTCTTTTTGGCTATCTTGGCGATGTTGAGAAATAAAGTTAACAAGACGCCTCTACCGGAAGCATCATTAAAAACCTATGCATTGAACAGAAATCAGTGTTCCCTTTTGATCTGCACAAAAATGAGTGCCGTAGTGTATTCGGTTTAGAATAGTACGAATATCTTGTTGCAAACCTCGCTGTTA